GGTTAGTACTCCCCTATTTTTCCCTCTCAGAACTTTCCTGGACATGCTTGCATTTTTTTGTTGTTGTTTCAGGTTAATTAAGGGTACATTAATTAGGTTACATTGTTTGCTTTTGTTAAGTAAAGCCCCTCTTATAATTGTGTCCCACCCTCAAGATGTGTGCCATACACCCTAACATTGTGCCCATTAAATTGGAGCATACCCGTTCCCCACCCTCCCCTCTCCCTGCTCTCTTGTTTCCCCACCCCCCACCTTGAATTGATTGGAGTTTCCCTCTTATGTGGGTGCCTATTAGATGTCTACTGACTAGATGTCAGTATTGAGTATGTTAGATTCTTGCTTCTCCACTCTTTTTTTTATAGTCAAACTATTTTTATGATTCTAGTCCTCTGCTATATCCCCATTTTTTTTTTTTTATTGTTTAGGATTCATTGAGGGTACAAAGAACTAGGTTACACTGATTGCATTTGTTAGGTAAAGTCCCTCTTATAATTGTCACCCACTCCCAAGAGGTGTGACATACACTGTGACCCCCCATCTCCCTTTCTCCTCCTCTCTCCCTGCTCCCTCATTCCCTTACCCCACCCGTTATATTAGCTCATCTACTGCCTTCATATTAGAATTGAGTACATTGGATTTTCGCGTCTCCATTCTTATGATGCTTTACTAAGAAGAATGTATTCTGCTTCCATCCAGGTTAATACAAAAGATGTAAAGTGTTCATCTTTTTTAATGGCTAAGTAGTATTCTATGGTGTACATATACCACAGCTTGTTAATCCATTCTTGGGTTAGTGAACATTTAGGTTGTTTCCACATTTTGGCAATTGTAAATTGAGCTGTAATATTCAGACTACTACAAATGTCCTTATGATAAAAGGATTCTTTTTTTTTTTTTGAGGCACAGTCTCACTTTGTTGTCCCCAGCAAAGTGCTGTGTCATCATAGCTCACAGCAACCTCAGACTCTTGGGCTCAAGTGATTCTCTTGCCTCAGTCACCCAAGTAGCTGGGAGTACAGGCAACTGCCACAACAGCTGTTTTTAGAGACAGGGTCTTGCTCTAGCTCAGGCTGGTCTCGAACCTGTGAGCTCAGGGCAGTTCACCCACCTCGGCCTCCCAGAGATTACCGGTATGAGCCACTGCACCCAGCCAAAAGAATTTTTTTTTCTAATGGGTAGATGCCTAGTAATGGGATTGCAGGATCAAATGAGAGATCTATACTTCCTTCCAAAAGGTTGTTATTAGTTTGCAGTTCCAACAGCAGTGTAAAAGTGTTCCCTTCTCTCCACATCCACACCAGCATCTGCAGCTTTGAGACTTTGTGATGTAGGCATTCTCACTGGAGTTAGGTGACATCTCAAGGTAGTTTTGATTTGCATTTCCCTGATGATCAAGAGACGATGAGCATTTTTTCATATGTTACCCATTTGTCTATCTTCTTTAGAGAAGGTTCTATTCATGTCTCTTGCCCAGTGATAAATGGTATTATTGGGTCTTTTATTGTTGATGAATTTGAGTTCTCTGTAGATCCTAGTTAGCAAGCTTTTGTCTGATCCATAATATGCAAATATCTTTTCCCATTCTGAAAGTTGTCTCTTTGCTTTGGTTCTTATTTCCTTATTTCCTTATTTCCTTATTTTGGTTCCTTATTTCCCCAATGTGTCTCTTTGTTGAAAACCAGTTGACCTTGTATGCTTGGGTTTATTTCTGGGCTCTATGTTTGTTAGTCTGTGTGTCTAGTTTTATTCCAGTACCATAGTGTTTTGATTACTGTAGCTCTATAATATAATTTAAAATCAGAAAGTTTGATGCCTCAGACTTTGTTTTTCTTTCTCAAGATTGTTTTGACTATTCAGGGTCTTTTATAGTTCCGTACAAACTTGGAATCATTCTATTTCTGTGAAAAATGCCATTGGAATTTTTATAGGGATTGCTTTAAATCTGTAAAATCTAATTAATACACACTTTCAAGGGTACACATAGGCTGCAATGAAGGGATGGAAAACAATATTCCATATAAGCAGTAATCAAAAGAAACAAAATATAACTTTAAGTCAGAAACTATCTCTAGAGACAAAGAAAGTAATTACATAATGATAAGAGGGTCAATTCATGAGGAAGATATAACAGTTATAAATAAACATATGCTCAACAGCAGAGCTCCTAAGTGTGTAAAGCAAATACTGACAGATCTGAGAGAGAACGTTGAGAGTGATACAGGAAGAATTGGACTCTTCAGAATTTGCTTTCAGGAGTAGACAGAATATCCAGACAAAAAATCCACAAAGAAGCATCAGGTTTGAACAGCACTATAGACCAAATGGGATTATTCCAAAATATTTCAGCTTTTTTGTTGCTATTACCAATGTGGTGATTTCTTTTATCCTATTTTCAAAGTAGTATTGAATCATATATGTAAAAGTTGTTAATTTTTGTATTACAGTTATTCCTCAGACACCTAAATTGAACTTTTTCATAATAGTTTCTAGTTGATCTTAGATTTTCAAAATAAATAATTATATCATCTACTACAAATATTGATAGTTTTACTTCCTCCTTTGAGGTTTTTTAAGCTCTGATTTTTTTTCTCTTGTTTTGATGTCTGTGTTAAACAGTAGTGGACTATTTGGAGTAGACCTCCATGGTTAATTGTTAAAGAATCATTTATCCTTTCCTGTTTTATTAAGAATTTATATCAAGGGGCAGGTGCAGTAGTCCATGACTATAATCCCAACACTTTGGCTGACTAAGCCTGGAGAATTGCTTGAGTTTAGCAGTTCCAGGCTGCAATGACCTGTGATCATGCCACACTGCACTTCCGCCTGGGTGAGAGAAAGCAAGACTGTCTCAGAAATTCACACGCACAGAGTAGGACCTCTGTGAGGTGACCACCTAAGGGACTATAACAAACTGGTCAGCACACAGAAGGGTCAGCATGAGGAACAAGGCCTGCTGCACTTACACATGTGTGTGGTGCATGTCCCGTGTGTGAAAATGAGGTCACCGTAGGAGGTGGACAGTGTAGGGAGGTGATCAGCTATGGAGCTTCTCCTGTGTACATACATATTTCATGAGTAGAAATTTTATCTCTCAGCATCTCAGATTCTGGGAAAATCATAAGATTGACTTTTCTCTATGTGTCTAGTGACAAGCTATGATAAAACCATTTTCCAGCATTATACAGAACTATTCTATCTTTTGAATAAACTTTAGTTGGTTGTTGCGTGTCACTCACTTAGCCCCCCAAGGCATGTGAGTAGCAGTGGCAGCAGCCTCAGCACCCTCCCTGCTCCTCAGAGCAGTCACTTCTGGGCTTCTCTGGCTGGTTTATCAGGATGCTGCACGTGTGTGAGGAGATTAGAGTCAAGATATTGGTGTTGATAAAAAAAAAATTATACATTACAGAAGTAAAGAGATAAGAAAGCTCTTGCTTCCCTCCACTTCTGCTCATGTCCCTTAATGATGGTTACCTTTAAAGATTTGGTGTACAGCCTTTGAAACTTACTTTTATGGTATGTAAGTGTATACATGAGGTATTATGTCTTTTATAAAGTGCAATTATTATATACATTGTATGGAAATAGAGACCATCGTTTTCCTCTGAATCTTTTGGACTTTATTCTGTGATAATACATAGAGAGCTCTGTGTTCCTTTTAAGGATTGCATCATTTTCTGCTGCAGATTTATCACTGTTTACTTACTGATTCTTTTACTGACTTTGTTTTTACATCTTGAGCTCTATGCAATTGTATGAGAACATCTGTAGGACAAAAGTTCTAGAAGTAGAATTGCTGGGACAGAAGTGAATGCATACTGTAACTTTTGAAAGATATTTTTTGATTGTCCCCCCAAAGGTCATGCATAGCAAATTACATTCTTCCCAGCACTCTATGAGAGTTGCTGTTTTTTCCCAGACACACAAATACTGGCGTTATTACTCTAACCCTCTTTGCTGGGTGAAAGAGGACATCTCACTGTTTTTATTCTCATTATTAGAGGGAGTTGGCACCTTTTTAAATGCCTATTAGCTATTTGCACTTCTTAATTCAAAAGAGCAAAATAAAACATAAATTGTAATTTTTCAACGTGATTCTAAATTATAACTTTGTTAAATGTCTTTCTATTACATGTTTTTCATTTTTATTTAGTCAGATCTTTCCTCTGTGCTGAGCTTAGGAAGACCTTACCCTCCCCAGGATAGAAGAGGTTTTTTTCTGTTTTATTCTAGTCTTTAGTCCATTGGATTTTATCTTTGTGAATAGTGTATAAAGGTATTCCACTTCATTTTTCTTCTAAATGTAGAGCTGATCGCCCTACCTAATCTTTGAACAGTCCTCCCTTTGTTTTCACTAATGTGAAATGCTACCAAATAATGAATTATTCACTGGGATCTTAGGTAAACAGAGACTATAGCTATGAGTCAGCTTTTTAGTAAATATCAAAATCATTTGATTAAATGTTTATCAAAACTAAAAGCATTTCTTTTTTACCATAAATTACAAGGAAATATGAATAAAAACATAGTAAGAGTGTAAAATGGCTCAGCGCCTATAGCTCAGTAGGTAGGACGTTGACCACATACACCAAGGCTGGCGGGTTCCAACCCAGCCCAGGCCAGCTAAACAACAGTGACAACTGGAACAAAAAATAGCCAGGCGTTGTGGTGGGAGCTGAGTCCCAGCTACTTGAGAGGCTGAGGCAAGAGAATCGCTTAAGTCCAAGAGTTTGTAAGCTGTAATGCCGCAGCTGTCTCAAAAAAAGAGAGAGTGTAAAATGGAAGGAATTATTTTTGCTTTATTCTGGTATCAGGTTTGATACAAGTGCCTCAGACTTCTTTATTTGCTGTGGTGATTTGTAACTCTTACGTATGTGCTGGCAGGCAAAGTGAAGCCAGAGACGGCAGAAGGTCTTATTTGTGGAAAGTAGGGCTATGCACAGTTTTCACAGATTTCTGTTTAGTCGCAGTCCTCACGATTCTTCCCACCTCTCCCCTCATAGCCCAAATGGGATGGACACGTACTACTGACACAAGTTTGGAAGCGTTTGAACCTGTTAGAGTGTGACTACTTCGGGCTGGAGTTTCAGAACATCCGATGCTGCTGGGTATGTGCCTTTGATTTGCTTTTAGAAACAGGCTGGAGGTATGTTGTAGGATGCTTGTGAGGGGGTGTGCACAGAGAGCTTTCCAGGACCTATTGTAACGATGTAATTATTGGCACATAATTATTATCAAAGGTGTGTTATTAAAAAATTTCATTGTTAGCTATAGGGGATGTGTATCCCTCCAAATTTGTTCTGTCCATTAGCACATGTGTCAAGGAAACTCCTTCATAAATTATAAAAGCAACCTCTAGTATATCCTGCATGAAAATCATTTTGATGTTTTTTGTTGTTGTTGTTGTTTTGAGACAGAGTCTCAAGCTGTCACCCTGGGTAGAGTGCCATGGCATCACAGCTCACAGCAACCTCCAACACTTGGGCTTAAGCAATTCTCTTGCCTCAGCCTCCTAAGTACCTTGGACTACAGGCATCTACCACACGCCCGGCTATTTTTGTTGTTGTTGCAGTTGTCATTGTTGTTTTAGTTGTGCTGGGCCAGGTTGGTAAACTTAACTAGATATACTTTTTTTTTTTTTGCCTCAGCCTCCCAAGTAGCTGGGACTACA